CCCCCGCCCCCCTCCCCTCCTTCTAAAGAGAGGACCAGGGCTCAGTGTGACAGAAGAGCATAGCGAATGGATTTCAAGTGGACTGTCAATGTCACTGATTTCATGTCAGCTAACCTTTAGCTCCCGTCTACAAGAGGGAACGTATGTCTGCTCATTACCATAATCCACCCCTTTCCCTCCGAGACTTTAATTAAAAGCAGCAAGCAGAGGTAATTATTTTTTACCTCGACACGCTCGTTTATGGATGAGGGTGAATCCCAGTTACCTTGTTAAACAAGGGGAGAGAGATTCAGTCAAATGTGACTTGCCAAGTGTGCAGGTAGTGGACGCGCAGGGGGAAAAGTGTCCCCCCGCCTAGGCATGCCGTTTGTGGCAGGGGGTGTGGGGATGCTGTCTTGCCCCGGCCTGACATTTCTCCTGCAAACCCTGCCTCGCTTCTGTTGGGAGGACTCTCTCCCCCTTTCAAGCTTTCAATCAGGCTCCTCCAGGAAAGCCTGCTGACCCTGCTGCCTGGAAAGCCAGCACAGGCATCAGAGCGAGAGGCTCCAAGACCTGAGAAATTTTCCCCCATTTCTAATCAGATGCATTTATTCTCCTCCTTTTTTAAGTGGCATTTAGTTTATTATTTGATTAAAAAAAAACCCATGGGTAAATGGATTACACACAACCCTCCTTTACCACTCCTTTATGCCACCGTGAGTTCGCAATCACCCATCTCCTCCCCAGCCAGCGCTGAAAGGAGCAGGAAGGAACGGGTCCTCCTGAGTATTGAAAATGGGTGACCGGAGAAGAATATTATTACTAGGACTTATTTGTCCTCCTGTCATGGATGAGCAGGGCGATCCTCCAACTTGTCCTTTTTTTTTTTAAATTACCCTATGCCTCCAAAGTTTCCTCTTCAGAGGGGTGGATTTTTCTGCAAGCAAAATGAAAACCTCCAGCAACCGACTTGCTGAGTAGGAAAAAACACTTTTTTTTAGAGGGTGTGTGGGGGGGAGAACCCTAGAGAATATAGGATTCTTCCCCCCCCCTCCCCCCAATATTCATCTTTCTCCCTCGCCTTTCCTTTCCCAGTGGTATCCTCCAGCCCTTCCAATCTGAGTTAATGTCTTCTTTTTTAAAAAGTCCCTTCCCCACAAGCTCCTCATTGTGCTGGAGGTCGCAGCGGCACATCGGGCATCA